AAGTTGGTCTGGACATCCTTCTTATCATGCCCTTCATGCAAATCGGAGGTTCCTGGTCTTTGTTTCCTTACCAGGTGAAACTAGGACCTGGCATGATGACGAAAGAAATGGCCTCCTCCAGTTGCATTCCATTTAGTAATATGTTTGGCTGATTCTCCTCTCTGCCTCAGGCTCTTCAGTTGACTCAATTGCCTAAAACCAAAAACAAAATTATGATAAGAGGGGGGAAAACCTTGGTTCCCAATTTCCTAATAGGACTTCTTCCTGAATTTTGAAAGCTGGCTTCTTCCTACTTACTTTGTGGGTTCTCAGTTTCCACATCTTACACCACATCCCTGAGTTACCTCAGCTTGGATCGACCCACTTTCTTGGAGCTGAACCTGTTGCCTCAGTGGGACCAGACATTTTGAGGATCTCATGTCCCTTTCCCATCCTTCCCCTGTACAAGGTTTCCAGAAAATTCAGAAAAAGTCCTCTCATATCTCTTCCTCAGCAGCAAATCACCCATACTTCCTAATGCCACCTTAAATGTAGTCCTTGACTTACAACCATTTGTTTAGTGACCGTTGAAATTTAAAATGGCCCTGGAAACCTATGACTGTTTTCCACACTTGTGGCTGTTGTAGCATTCCCACGATCACATGAACAAAATCTGGGTGCTTGGTAATGTATTTATGACAATTGCACTGTCCTGGGGTCATGTGATTTGTGACCATCCCAACTGGCTTCTGACAAGCAAAGTCAATAGGAGGGAAACCAGATTTGCTTAATGACTGCATGGTTCACTTAACAACTGCAGTGATTCGCCTAACAACTGTGGCGAGAAAGGTTGTAAATATAGCAAGACTCACAACGCCGTCCCTAGCCATGGAAATTTTGGGCTCAATTGTGGTCATAAATTGAGGACTATCTGTACTGCCCTGACTAAAATTTGGCCATTTCATTCTACCAATACATTTTCCTCTTCTAATCTATATAGGTAATCCTTGACTTACAACTATTTATTTAATGACTGTTCAAAGTTATAACAGCACTGGAAAAAGGTGATTTACAATCAGTCCTCACATTTACAACCGCTACAGCAACCTCAGAGTCCCATGCAGAGGTGGGTTTCAGCAGGTTCTGACCAGTTCTGAAGAACTGGTAGTAGAAATTTTGAGTAGTTTAGAGAACCGGTAAATACCACCTATGACTGGCCCCGCCCCCATCTATTCTCTGTCTCCTGAGTCCCAGCTGATCGGAAGGAAATGGGGATTTTGCAGAAACCTTTCCTTGGAGTGGGGTGGGAATGGAGATTTTACAGTATCCTTCCCCTGCCATGCCCACAAAGCCATGCCCACCAAGCCATACCCACAGAACCAGTAGTAAAAATTTTTGAAATCCACCATTCGTCCCATGATCAAAATTTGGGTGCTGGGCAACCGGCCTGTTTTTATGACGGTTGCAGCATGAGATCCTGAGATCCTGGAACTGTCATTTGCAACCTACCAAAGGAGCTTTAGACAAGCAAAGTTAAAGGGGGAAAACAGATTTGCTTAATGACTGCGTGATTCACTTGACAACTGTGGCAAAAAAAAAAAAAAAGATTGTAATATTGCAAGTCACTTAACAGCTGCCTTGCTTAGAAACAGAAGTTCTGTTTGTGTCATTCGTCAAGGTTTACCCATACTACTTTTGCTGGACCTTCTGCTGGTCAACGTGAGAATGAAATCAGACAGCAGCTAGCCAACTAAAGCTGATCTCAAAAATATAAGCCAAGTGAGATCCCGTTAATGCAAGGGAATCTCATCCTAGAAGGGTAAAATGAAAAAAACAAAAACACCAAACAATTTCTGTGTTGCAAGAAAATATGGATATTCCCATTGTGAGGAGACAAGCTACACTTCTGGTGACTTTGCCTGTCCTGGAGCAATGGAGGAAGGGTCACCATTCGATTATGGACATAGGGGAAGGAGAGGAAGAGCATACGATGTAGGTCAAAGCTGGTCTGTCTACCTGCTCTGACCCAACCGGTTCTCCTGAAATTGATCGTGTTTATAGTGATGACAAAGCCATGTCCAGAAACATAGCAGAGTAAACCTGCTCAGTAACCATCCAAAGTGATTTAGATCAAAGGCATATTTATATTTATGGGAAAGGGAAAAGCGGGCAGTGACATTTACAGCTCAGAGTTGAACTGAGTGGTCATTGGTTCTGTCTGAGTTTGGCTGTTTCCTTGCAGGTGCTTCGTTACCTAACTAGATAACGTCATCAATCCTACCTGTAAAACTGATGACGGTACCTACTTAGGTAATGAAATGTCTGCAAGACGTTTGGGTGGGGAATGGCAAACCATGATCATAAACTGGGGAAGATTAAAATTAAAATTATAAGGCTGTAGGTGGAATGTCCTGACCATATCATTAGAAAAGGGAAATTATAAAAAAGTGACTGGAGGATAATCGTATTAGCTACATTTAATTTGAATTAAGCTGAAAGATAAGTACAGGCAGCCCTTGACTTTTAGCCATTCGTTTAATGACCGTTCAAAGTTACGTTGGCACTGGATAACGTGAGCTATGGCCATGACTCACGCTTATGACCGTTGTAGCATCCCCATGGTCACATCATTTAGATTCGGATGCTTGACAACTGGTGCAAATTTATGACGATTGGAGTAGGGGTGAAATCTACTTACCTTTCCTACCAGGTTGGAAGTGCCTGCGCCATCGTCACATCCGATTTTTGACCCTCTGCGCAAGCACAAAGCCTTCTGCACATGCGCAGAGGCTCAAAAATGGGTTACTTCCTGGTTAAAACCAGGAAGTAGCGACATCCAGGTGGGTGGGAGGAGCCTCGTGCTGCTGCTGCTACCGGTTCGCCAAACCACATGCCACCGTCGCTACCAGTTCACGCAAGCCGGACAAAACCGGCAGGATTTCACCACTGGATTGGAGTGTCCCAAGGTCATGTGATCCCATTTTGCGACCTTCTGACAAGCAAAGTCAATGGAGAAACCAGATTCACTTAACAACTGTATTACTAATTTAACAACTGCCATTTGCCAACTGCCAACTTAACAATTGTGGCAAGAAAAGTCATAGAATGGGGCAAAACTCACTGAATAAATTTCTCACTTAACATAAATTTTGGGCTCAATTGTGGTCATAAGTTGATGGCTACCTGTACGTACAGTGCTTGCTCAGGCAGAAATTCCAGGTTCTTTTCCTTGATTTTCTGACAGCTCAAACCTCATTCTTGAAGTCTCTGAAAGCTAAAAAAAATCCAGTCTGTGAACCCAAATGGATCAGGAAATAATTCCCAGGATTTTTATTCCGTACGGGAAGAAAGTCAGGTAGAGTGTAACGTTAGTAGTTGTTTTATGCATCCTTATTCCCTTATTTTCCTTACAAGCCAGAATTGCAGATAACATCACTCAAAACTGTGAAAAGATTTTCTAAAATAGTTTAGAAAAACCCTGCAGCATCAGTGTGCATGATCTTTTCTTTTTTAAAAAAATCATTCTGAGGAATTGGCAACCCAGCATGACTCGGCACGATTTCTGGGTTATTTCTGAAAAGGAAGTAAGGATTTTAAATATATAACACAGGAAGAATGGTAAATGAAGATTCCTAGAATTGGTGAACAACAGCGGATGAAGAGCTAGGTGGATGCCAAGCGTGGTCTCTTTTCAAGGCTCCTGTGCTTTTAGGAGTAGCCCCCCACCCCTCCCAAACAGAATACAAAAAACTATGAACACACATTCAAGATGGTTTTGCATCAGATTTCTCCTTGCCTGCTCAGAGAGAAATGCCCAAGAATAGTATAGAATAACAGAGTTGGAAGGGACCTTGGAGGTCTTCTAGTCCAACCTTCTGCTTAGGCAGGAAACCCTACACCACTTCAGACAAATGGTCTAATCTCTTCTTTAAAACGTCCAGTGTTGGAGCAATCACAACTTCTGGAGGCAAGTGGTTCCACTGATTAATTGTTCGAACTGTCAGAAAATTTCTCCTTAGTTCTAAGTTGCTTCTCTCCTTGATTAGTTTCCACCCATTGCTTCTTGTCCTGCCCTCAAGTGCTTTGGAGAATACTTTGACTTCCTCTTCTTTGTGCAGCCCCTGAAATATTGGAACACTTCTATCGTGTCACCCCTAGTCCTTCTTTTCATAAGACTAGGCATACCCAGTTCCAGCAACCGTTCTTTTTGTTTTATCCTTGAATCCTCTAATCATCTTTGTGGCTCTTCTCTGCACTCCTTCTAGAGTCTCAACATCTATTTTACATCATGGTGGCCAAAATTGGATGCAGTGTTCCAAGTGTGGCCTTACCAAGGCATTATAAAATGGTATTAACACTTCACGTGATCTTGATTCTATCCCTCTGTTTATGCAGCTTAGAATCGTGTTGGCTTTTTTGGCAGCTGCATCACACTGCTAATTAGGCGGCCTTCTAACAAATCAAGAAAGTTAGAAATTGTAATTGCTGGTGGAAATCAACCAGTCAACCTTCTCCTGGGAAGTAACTACATTAGATTAAAACAGGAGAAGCGGACAGATTTTTCATTGAGGAAAAATAGGCCACCCCTGTCTATAGTGTTGGTAACAGGCCCATATATATATATCGATCAATCAGAATAGAGTTGGTGGGAGGCCTTGGAGGTCTCTCTGAAGAGAAAAGAGCCTAGTGGTTACATCCAGACCTGGATCCCAACAAAAACAGGAAAGGGAAGAGTAATAGATTATGTCCTTGTTTAAAAAGGAGGCTTCTGCTAAGATGATTTCCTAAGAATTGTGTAACTCTTGATTGCTCACCCATCCCTTCCTTGCACACGTATACGGGCTAGGAGTCTGTAGCCTTTCTGACCTGCTTCTCTTTCCTTTCCTTCGCTGTAACTCATCCTCCTTTGCAAGTAATTCCACCCGCCCCATTAGCAAGAAGGGTGGTGACCTTATTGCATGCCCACACACACACGCACAAACACACACACACATACAGAGGCAGAGACACACATATAAAAAGAAGGAAGGATGCTTCTGCCATCATCGCTGTCACCTTGTGCAGCAGGACAGAAAGAGACATCTGCCGGATAGGTGAGCCTTCCCAGTGGTGGGGTTTTAAATGACAAAAGATGGTTTAGAAATTTGGATAAATTGGACAACTGATGCTGCAAGAGTTTTATTTTGCGATAGATCGTGGGTGAGCACCTTTCTAATGGGGAAGATTTTGAATTTCTGGCTATTTTTAGTGGTGATCAAGACACTTTACGGTCTCTATGGTTTACTAAGAAAATAAATGGTACTCAGTATCACTCCAAGGACCCATCAATTTTCATAGCCTCTTTCTGAGAATGATGTAATAATGTACAGCCAGTTTGGTGTAATGGTTAAGGTGCTGACCTAGAAACCAGGACTCTGTGAGTTCTAGTCCTGCCTTAGACATAAAAACCAAATGGGTGATTTTGGACAGTTACACTCTCTCTCTCAGTCCAACCCACCTCACAGGTTTATTGCTATGGGGAAAATAGGAGGAGGAAGGAATATTAGAAATTTTGCTGCCTTCAGTGTGTTTGTTTGTTTAAATCCCACATCTATTATTCTTACAAATAACTCAAGTAATAAAGGGATAGAACTTAAAGAAATAAATGTATCCAACCCTCCTTGACATATAGAAATGAGGCAATAAAGCAATAAAATAAAATAAAATAAAAAATAAATAAATAAAAAGGGAAGGGAAGGGAAGGGAAGGGAAGGGAAGGGAAGGGAAGGAAAGGAAAGGAAAGGAAAGGGAAGGGAAGGAAAGGAAAGGAAAGGAAAGGAAAGGAAAGAAGATATATAATCCTCCTTGATGTATAGAAATAGCAGAATAACAGAACAGAATAACAGAGTTGTAAGGGAGACACTACACCATTTCAGACAAATGATGGGTGATGGGGCAACAGGGGTGGGTTCTAAAAATGTTTACTACCGGTTCTGTGGCTGTGGCTTATTTCGTGGGCACGGCTTGGATGTCATGTGCCTGGGTGGGCATGGCTAGCTGGTCATGTGACCGGGTGGCCATGGCTATGTGTATAGGGACTACTCAGAGGGCTGAAAAAAGTCATTTCTGACAGGCCTCGCACTTTTGACTGATCCTCACACTTATGACCATCCTCACATTTATGCCCGTGCAGCATTCTTAACAACCATGTCACTCATTTCACAACTGCTTCTCTTCACCATGGTGACAAGATAGGGCAAAAAACGTAAAATGTGAGGACAGTCGTAAGTTTGAGAACTGGTCAAAAGTGCGAGGACCAGTCAAAAATAACTTTTTCAGCCCTCTGAGTAGTCCATATGCACAAAAGGACTACCCAGAGGGCTGAAAAAAGTGATTTTTGACAGGTCCTCGCACTTTTGACCGGTCTTCGCATTTATGACTGGTCATCATTTATGCCCATGCAGCATTCTTAACAACCGTGTCACTCATTTCACAACTGCTTCTCTTCACCATGGTGACAAGATAGGGCAAAAACGTAAAATGTGAGGACAGTTGTAAGTTCGAGGACTGGTCAAAAGTGTGAGGACCAGTCAAAAATAACTTTCAGCCCTCTGAGTAATCCATATGCATAAAATGATACAGCAATAAAGAGGGATGAAGGAAGGGAAGGGAAATTAGAATAGGAGTGAGGGGAAGAGAAGGAGGAAGAGAGAAGGAGAAGGAGAAAGGAAGAGGAAGTAGGGAGGAGAAGAAGAGGGGGGGAAGAGAAAGTAAGAAGGAAAGAAAAGAAAAGAGACAGGTGGTAGGTTTGAGGAGAAAGATTGCTGTACAATAAAAAAGATGAACGGGAAGAAAGCCAACCCCAAATATAAAGATATTAAGATAAAGAATGAATTGTTAAACTTTAAAGAATAAAAGAGAACAAATATGAATAAATAGCAATAATTAGAAACACACATACAAACATACAATATATTTTCTTTGAACAGAGTATTTGGCCAGTTCACAAATTTAAACAGTGTTTAGTCATTTCAATTAAATTTATAATTTCTGTATTTCCTTTTTGCCATATTTATTCCTCACCTATTTTTTTAAAAAACCATTATTACCCTTCATCCTCAGCTCTAATCTTAATCAAATTCAATTTTTCCCTTCTATTCTATATTATACCCCTTCGCATTGTCATCTATTTTTATATCCATCCTCACATTGGTTAATTATGTAATATTACAGTTGTTTAATACAAATTCAACATTTTAATATAAATCAATTACTTATATAACTATCTTTTTTGTATATTAATCAATATGAACATGAATATTCCAATTATTTCCATGCAATCCAATTTCTTACAAATCAATTAATTATATTTACCAATAATAATAAACCAAATAATTTCCCCCATATATACCTCCAAACCACAACTTAACCATTTCTGCTTTCAACACAATATACAATTTATAGTATCTCAATTATTACAATTCCCTAGTTAAATAGAACTTTTTTTCTTTTGTGTTTTAAAATCTTGAACCTCCTCTTTTGCCCTAAATTTCCCATTGTTTGCAGTTTTGCACCTACCTTTTTTGGTGAAGAAAAAGAAAAAGAAAGCTCTCTCTGCCTCATTTTGTCACGTTGCAGGAAAGACCCTGCTTTACTTTCAGTTTCGTTTTTTCAGCATAGGGGGAAAAAAATCTGCTCCAATACTCTTTGCAGCTAGCAACAGAGCCCTGTGCAAAACAGCTGAAAGCAAATCAGCTGAGAGTCTGGAGGCCGATCTAATCAACTTGTACTAATTAACTATACTGAAGCTGAAAGGGGCTGTTTTTTCTATTTTTGCAGGCATCGGTCTACTCATTTGTTTTCTTTTAACACTGATCAGCTGTAGGGCGGCCCTTTGAAGCCCCCCAGCAAGAGTTTAAACAGTTTTTTTCCCTCTAGCCATCAGCTGGGACTCAGGAGGCAGCAATAGATTGGGAGTGGGCGGGGTAAGCGAATCTTCTGCGTTCCGGGCATGGCCAGCTAATCTTATTACCGGTTCTCCGAACTATTAATTTTTTTACTACCGGTTCTTGCGAACCAGTGCGAACTAGGAGCAACCCACCAGGGCACCAACAACTTCTGGAGGCAGGCTGTTCCACTGGTTACTTGTCCTCACTGTTAGGAAGTCCCTTCTTAATTCTAGGTTGCTTCTCTCCTTGATTAGTTTCCATCCATTGTTTCTTGTCTTGCCTTCTGGTGCTTTGGAAAATAGGTTGACCCCCTTTTCTTTGTGGCAGCCCCTCAAATAAGACATGGCAGCAATCTCATCTTTCCTGTCGCTTATTCTGAACATAAAAATGTTGTGAGCACAATGATACCCGAAAAAGAGAAGTTTCATTTAGAAAGCAATGAATTGGTTTCCTGTGAATTTGTCATATTTATTATCACATCTTGTGGCAATGAGGTCTGTAAGTTAATTAAACCTCAGCACTGTTATCGTTCATGATGCATGTGGTTTTTTTTTAAGTTTCAGCTACTCACTCCTAAAAGTTTTTTGGTGTGTACAGAAATTTCTCCTCTGTTGCAACATGTACAACTCCTTATCAATGGTCTCATCATCACACGTTCTTTGTTGTTATATAAGTGCTTGCTTTGCACTGTGGAAGTTGGTTGTGGCTTCTGGTGATCAATGCAAATGTGTGTGTGAAGTCATGCGCTCAATCATAGATTACTTCTTTCAAAATTTGGCAACCAAACTACTGCACCCAAAACACTCGGCTGTTTATCTAGCCATTCTGGTGCCAGAACTGAATGTTGGGCCGTGATATCTGATTATATGTACATCCTATATTGTTTATATACATCCTTTTTGTTTATAGCTGCATCAGCAGCCCATGAAGCTTCTTTCATATTTTAAAAGACAACCAACAATGGCAAAGAACAATGGCAGTTAACAGTTACCGTTAATCCTGTTTTCAAAAGATTCTAGAACTCAGCATTGCTATGGGGAGTAATTTGAAATAATATTAATTTTAAAGATTTAAAACAACTGCGGGAAAGAATTCAGCAAATTGTTCACCCATTCAGTTTACCGAGTATATAAACCTGATAGAATGTCTAATTTATATTATGATTGTTATGATTAATCATATACTAAGACTGAGCCTTGCTACTACCATTTGTTTATACCACTAGTATTATTACTATTACCACTAAATAAGTGCTATTATACCGTAGTTCATATCAGTGTTTTTTAATGTTGACTACTTGAAGATGTATGGACTTAAAGGCCCAGAATTTTGGAAGGCTGTGGAATTCTGGGAGTTGAAGTCCACTCATCTTCAAACTGGCCAGGAAAAAGAAACACTGATTCATATACTTTTACTATTAATTATAATAGCACTTAAACTTATGTCGCCCCGTAGTACTTTACAACCATCTGGGCAGTTTACAGTGTCAGTATATTGACCCCAACAACATATGTCCTCATTTTACTGACCTCGGAAGGTTGGAAGGCTGAATCAACTTTGAGCCTGTAAGAATCAAACTTCAGGCTGTGGGCGGTGTTAGCCTGCAATATTGTATTCTAACCATTGCGCCACCAGGTCTCTTATTACTAATGTTTGCCTTATGGATTAACCAATTGGCCTGCACTTTTCCCCATAGCCGGACAAAATCCCGTCCCATGGATTCTCTCAAGATACTCACAACCCTTACAATGGTCTTTTGGCTTCCGAGTGGATGCTACACCAATTCTGAAGGTAATGCTACCCTATGTCAGTTTTGGAAGCCATATTAGGCTGGAAGCCTAATATGACACCCTATTTAGGAAGCACCTTGATGGGGAGGAGGGGGGCAGCGGAAAGCTAGAAAATCCTTCCAGGGTTCAACTAAATCCGCTTCGGATGGATTTGGCTCGCCAACTTTTGAAAGCTAACAAGGTTGAGCCTGGATGGGAAATGCTAGATTGGAGATGAGTTGGAAAAAAATCAGTGACTAAACACTTTGGTTTGGAGGCCATGAAAAATACGTGGAGGTTATAAGGACTATAGCTGGATTCAAGGCATCCTGACAGGTGCAAGAATCCAGAAATACGTTAAGTTGCAGTTCAGATTTCATGCCCAGGCCTATACACAAGAAACTAGTCCATTAAATTCAGCCCTAAATTGGTACCAGAACAGAATTTAAGAAGGGTTGGACTTAAGCTTGATTTTGACTTGTTCGCAACTGCACATAGGTGTCAACACACAACTATGTTGTGAAGGGGTTGATAGACAAGCGTAGGTTGCAGATAACTGCAGATAGTTCAACGCGTACAACTCCCAAATCCCAAATGTGTGGAAATGCACATCCTGCACGCTAATTGGTAGAATTGACTTCCTGTTGAGAGGCAGTGGAAGGCAGGCAAATTCAAATGATGTTAACATTTGCAGAAGTACAGGTGGTCCTCGACTTACAACAGTTCATTTAGTGACGATTTGAAATTACAACGGAACTGAAAAAAGTGACTTAGGGCCATTTTCCACACTTATGACTATTGCAGCTTTCTCATGGTGACATGATCAAAATTTAGATGTTCGGAACAGAACAGAACAGAACAGAACAGAATAGAATAACAAAGTTGGAAGGGGGACCTTGGAGGTCTTCTAGTCCAACTCCCTGCTTAGGAAGGAAACCCTACACCATTTCAGACAAATGGTTATCCAATCTTTTCTTTAAAACGTCCAGTGTTGGAGCATTCACAACTTCTGGAAGCAAGTCACTCCACTGATTAACTGTTCTAAATGTCAGGAAATTTCTCCTCATATTTATGATCCTTGCGGTGTCTTGGGATCATGTGATCCACCTTTGTAGCCTTCCTAACACTTGCCATGATTCATTTAACCGCTGTGGCCAAAAAGGTCGTAAAATGGGGCAAAATTCACTTGACAAATGTCTCACCTAGCGACAAAAATTTTGGACTCAGTTATGGTCGTAAGTCAAGGACTACCTGGATAAATGCAACAGCTATGCAGCCGTCTCTGAACGACAGACGCCTACATTCCCTGAGGTGAAGTGACCCAGAAGACAAACCAAACTTCTAAAATGTTTTTGAGAACATAAGGACTCTAAGCTGATGACTCATTTAACTCTGCCCTCCTACTCTGCCTGTTCTTCTCCTATAGATCCTTCCTTTTAGCTACTCAGAGGTATCTGCAAATGTGGTCCAAAACTAAGCAAAGTTTTGATTATGGTGGCCATTTTGATTTTTTTGCCATAATTTAAAGACACCCTAGTTCCAAAAACTGTCTTGGGATTGTGGTAGAAGCCTAGTTCACCCTATTTCTTTCCTTTATAGGATCCTGGTGTTATACGGAACGACACTGTGGTAAGAAAAACAGAGCTATTTTTCCTTTGATCCCCTAGATCTGTGATGGCGAACCTATGGCACGCGTGCCACAGGTGGCACGCGGAGCCATATCTGTGGGCATGCGAGCGTTACCCTAGCTCAGTTCCAGCATGCATGCGTACGCCAGCCAGCTGATTTTTGGGCCTTTCGGGCCCACCGGAAATCAGGAAATGGGCCTTTTCTGGCCTCCAAGGGGGTGGGGAAGACCATTTTTGCCCTCCCCAGGCTCCTAGAAAGCCTCTGGAGCCTGGGGAGGGCAAAAAACAGGCCTACCGGGCCCACCGGGCCATCGCATGCCAAAAGCGGGGGTCGCGTGGGGAGGAGGGTCATGTGTGCATGCATGGGGGGTGGGGCACATTGAATTGTGTGTGTGGGCATGTGCGCGCTTGACCCCCCACGCGACCCCCTGCTTTTGGCACGCGACGGCAAAAAGGTTAGCCATCACTGCCCTAGATCCATGATGGCGAACCTATGGCACGCATGCCAGAGGTGGCATGCAGAGCCCTCTCTGTGAACATGTGTGCCATCTCCAGCTGCTCTTCTGGTTTCCAGCATGTGCATGCACACCGGCCAGCTGGTCTTCGCGCATGCCAGAAACCCGAAGACCAGGTGGCCAGTGCGCGTGCGTGTGCTGGCCACCTGGTCTTTGGGTTTCCGGTGCCCATCTTCGCGTGCACCGAAGTGTCAGAAACCCAAAGATCAGCTGGCTGGTGCACTGGTCTTCAGGTTTCCGGCACGCATTCCGGTTTGGGCACTCAGTGCCAAAAAGGTTTGCCATCCCTGCCCCAGATCATACTTAGTCTCAGCCAGAGATCATCCATTGCATTTAAATTCCAAAACTTAGATTTGCGAATATATCTCTTCCCATGGCTTTACTTTGTAGTAAAAATAAAAATCCTGTTCACATAATTTGCTAACTGTGAGCAGAATACCCAACAGAGATAGTAGCTTTTAGGAAAACTAGATTCCATCTGCTTTTTTTAAAAAATGTATTTCTTTGACACTTCTAGTCTAACAACTATCCTTTTTGGGGGGGATTGTTGGGAAGGTCCTAGAACCTGGATATCTCATGGTCATTGCAACGGCAAGAGACAGTCACCCATCAACATTATTCACAAAGATGCTATCCATAACCCCAGTCTGGGTCCTCTGGATCTTGTTGGTTATGACAACTGCAAAAAGCTGCTAAAAATCAAGAATACTGGGAAAACAGGTGAGTTACTGTGCTGTGTTTTCAGCAATTTTATTAAGATTATCATGATATGAAATACAAATGAAAATATAGTAGGAAAAAAAGGGAAGGAGGGGAAAAGAAAAAAGAAGCATGGATTTCGAATTATTTTCAGCACAATGAAATACAAAATAGAATTACTGTATAGCTTCAACTTTTATTTTACCAATATAATAAGTACTGCAGAGCCAGTTTGGTCCAATGATTAAGGTACCTGGCTAGAAAGTGAGAGACTATGAGTTCAAATCCCATGTTAGGCATGAAAGCCAGCTGGATGACCTTGGCTAAGCATCAGGAGACTGTGAGTTCTAGCCCCGACATAGCCGTGAATGCCAGCTAGGTGACTTTGTGCCAGTCATTCTCTTTCAGCTCACCTCACCTCACAGGGTTATGGGGAAAATAAGAAAAGGAAGGCATATTAGGTATGTTTGCTGCCTTGAGTTATTTGTATAAATAAAGGCAGAGACAAACAAACAAATAAAATACTAGCCATTTATGTAACGACAAACTAGATTACTCAGCAAAACCCAATGCCAAGAATTCATTTTGTTCTGTCTCGAGCACAAAGTCCAGAAATGGTCTCCCAAGTCAACACAAACCTGGATATATTTCTTTTCTCCAATTAAAAGAATCTATTTTGCCATCATGGGTATCTCCATCCCTTTTTCCATCCATTCTTCTGTTGTGGGGATTATGTATCTTTCCATTTCTTGCATATAGAATTCTCATGGGCTCTTTTAAAATGAAAATGTTTTTGTCCTTAAAATAGGAGCAGTGGGGGCGGGGGGGAGAAACTCCAATCAAACAGCCAAAGTGCAAGAAGGAACATCTGTGACAGTCTTTGCACACTGTGTATAACTTTTGGGGTCCATTCTCTAGCTGTGTGGAAATGTACGTGCTGCACTTATAGGCTGTTCCAATCATTAACCACTTTGAGTTTCAGACTATTTGGGAATTTGTGTTGCAGGATGCAAGGGGGGAAAAATGGAGGGACTACAGGGAGGGAGAATTTTAACAGCTGATAGTTGGAGAAGGGAAGGAGAAGCTGGATCAAAATGGATTTGATGCTCTTCTAATGTTAGGCTCTTGTTGGTATGGCTCTTCCAGTTGATCGTGGCCCTTGGTAACCAGGATCAATTCCCTACAGACTACAGAGAAATCTTTTCCACCTTTGGTTTGCTGAGCAAGAGTGGCTGGCCTAATAAGTCCCAACTGACTACAAGACTAGAATTCACAGTCACCTAGCTTTGGAACCAGCTCCTTTAACCACTGCACCAATGGTGGGTTGCCCCCGGTTCGGTCCGGTTCTATAGAACCGGTAGTAAAACCAGTGGGAGGCTCCGCCCACCTGCCACAACATCATCACTGGTGATCTGCGCATGCACAGAAGCTTCTGCACATGCACAGAAGCGTGTGCGAGTGAGCGAGCAAAGCAAGCAGGTGCACATGCTCCCATTGCGAATCGGTAGTAAAGGTAAGTAGAACCCACCCCTCCACTGCACCAAATTCTCTCTCTAAATATTAGATTAGAAACTCCACAATCCCTTGCTCTACTTGTGTTCATGCCAGGAATTGCTTTAGTGTGAATTTCTCTGCATTGTTCCTCAAAAATTAGCAATCATGGGATGGGAGTTGAAGTCCACCGGTCATAAAGTTGCCATGGTTACCCATCCCTGATTTTAGCTCAAACGAAAGCAAAGTTGGGCTCTTGAAGTGCTTTGGATTAAACTTCCACAATCAAAAGGTTGAAGACCGGATCTAGAACACTGAGCACAGTGCTGGATTTTTCTTCTCTCTTTAATCGGCAGTTGACGTATCCCTGGAAGACGGTCTTCATCTTGCTGGTTTTGGCCTTCCCACCCGCTATACAGCCAAATCCTTTCACCTTCACTGGGGAGATGGTGCCACGCGACCAGGTTCGGAGCATCAGATTAATGGCAAACCATACTCAATGGAGGTGAGGTCAAATTCCCCAGCCAACTTATGTGGGGTTCTCTTTTTTTGTGCCCCCACAGAGTCTACCGGTACTGCTTTATTACAGCATAAGCAATTGTTTCAGCTGCTGCTGGTTACAGGCAGTCCTTGATTTACAACTATTTGTTTAGTGATGGTTCAAAGTTATGACAGTGAAAAAAATGACTTAGGACCATTTTTCACACTTACAACTTTTGTAGCATTCCCCATGCTCACTTGATCGAAATTTGGACACTTGGCATGTATTTATGACGATAGCAGTTTCCCGGGGCCATCTGAGCCCCTTTTGTGACCTTCTGACAAGCAAGGTCAATGTGGAAGGCAGATTCACTTAATAATCATGTTACTAATGGAACAACTGCTGTGTCATTTAACAACTCTGGCAAAAAAAGATTGCAAAATGGGGCAAAACTCAACAACCGTCTTGCTTAGCAACAGAAATGTTGGGCTCAAATTGTGGTCATAAATCGAGGATTATCTGTAACAAGGTCAAATCCTCTGGAAATTTGTCTGAAGCTTGGGAAAACCAAGAGTTTTCAGGACTGAGTTTGCCATGTTGCAGTTTCTGAAATCTATTGTCCTTCTTCCAATTAAAGCTTTTCCATGGAATGTAAGAATTTGCAATATTTTAAGATCTGAAGCCAGATCTGGAATGCAACCAGGAGCACATTTCCCAAATTAAATGGAGTTAGTTCAAAGATTCAATTAAATATATAGTTTAAAATCACATTAATTGCATTGCATTGACACATTAAGTTCAATGTGTCTATTGCATTCAAAATAGCAGCCTACTGGCAGCTTCTGGAACTCTGTAGGGGACTGTATCTCAGATTCCCCAGGGCCACATGGGATCTTAACTTCCACATCTCCAAGGAAAAGCGGTTAGAGCTGCAACATCTATCATGGCTTGATGGAGAACCGGTAGCGGAAATTTTGAGTAGTTCAGAGAACTGGCAAATACATCTCTGGCTGGCTCCAGAGTGGGTGGGAATGGAGATTTTGCAATATCCTTCCCCCAGGAGTGGGGAGGGAATGGGGATTTTACAGTATCCTTTCCCTGGAGTGGAGTGGGAATGGAGATTTTGCAGTATCCTTCCCCTGCCACACCCACCAAGCCATGCCCACATAATCAGTAGTAAAAAAATTTAGATTTCACCACTGGCTTGGTTGCATATATCAACTTTTCCCAATGTGATATCCCTCATGCTGTATAGACTTCAAGAGTCAGTGGTTAAGACGCCAGACTAGAAACTGGGAGATTGTGAATTTTAGTCCTTCTTTAGTCATGAAAGATAACATTAGGCCAGTCACACTTTCTCCACCCAATCTGCCTTAAGATATTGTTGTTGTGGGGAAAACAAGAGGCAGGAGGGTTAATTGCCAAGAGTTGATGAGATAAAACTCTAATAATAAATAAATATTGAAGGGAATTGTGGGAGTTATAATTCACTATACTTGGAGGAAAACAGGCTGGTCTAGTGGTTAAGGTACCAGGCTAGAAAGCGGGAGACCATCTTAGCTATGAAAGCCCTTTGAGTGAATTTGGACCAGTCATTCTCTCTCAACCTAATCACTTCACAGGATTGCTGCTATGAGGAAAATAGGAGGATGTGCTCCATGGAGTTATTTGTAAAACTAATAAAGACAGGGTACAAATAAATTAAGTAAATAAAAATCAGGTAAGAAAGCTTGGTCTATATACAATCAGGATACCAAGGAGAAGCGCAGGTCTCATAAAATCTTTGTGTTCTCTCTTCAGTTGCACATCGTACATACCAGAAACAACCTGAGCATCCCAAATGCTGTGAAGAATTCAAAGGGCATCGCAGTGCTGGCATTTTTTATCCAGGTGAGCCCCCAATCCAAATCAGCTACATTGACCAAATATAAAAAGGTAAAGGTTCCCCTCGCACATATGTGCTAGTTGTTCCCGACTCTAGGGGGTGGTGCTCATCTCCGTTTCAAAGCCAAAGAGTCAGCACTGTCCGAAGACGTATCCGTGGTCATTTGGCCGGTATGACTCAACGCCAAAGGAGCACAGAACACTGTTACCTTCCCACCAAAGGTGGTCCCTATTTTTCTACTTGCATTTTTTACATGCTTTCGAACTGCTAGGTTGGCAGAAGATGGGACAAGTAATGGGAGTTCACCCCATTATACGACACTAGGGATTCAAACCGCTGAGCTGCTGACCTTTCGCTCAACAAGCTCAGCATCTTAGCCACTCAGCCACCGCGTCCCTGGACCAAATATGCCAATCTATAAAAACCAGGTGTTAAGATAAGGAAGATATTTACAGAAATGTACAAAGGGGCCAAAAGCATGGAGGAAATTTTTTCCCCAACAAAAAATATATATAGTTAGAAAATGTTCTGGCCAGGCCAAATGTCTAGATGTAGTCTTCAATTTACAACCGGGTTCAAAGTTACGACGGGTCTCCCCAAAAGCTATTTACAATCCTGATTTGAATTTCTGATCTCTACCACCTGTAGTCTTGTAGTCATGTGATCACATTTTGGGTGTTCACCAACCAGCCTCTATTTATAGCCATTTGCACTGCCCCTTGGTCACATGACCACTAGAATCTTTTTGCCAAAACCCACATTTACTTCTGGTTTCACCCCATAGCAAACAAAGCAGGGGTGGGCTCTAAAATTTTTTACTACTTGTTCTGTGGGCGTGACTTATTTTGTGGTCGTGGTTTGATGGTCATGTGACAAGTCTTTAGGATTTATCAGAGGTTCTGATCTACCAGGCTTTTAACTGCTTGCAGAGCCGTACCGGTCTACCCATTTATTTTTGGAGCGCACTGGTCTACCACACTGCCTTTTACCACTGATTAGCTGTAGGGCGGTCCTTTGAAGCGCCGCAACAAGAGTTTAAACATTTTTTTGCTGCTCTGCCACCACCGAAAGCATCAGAAACCGCTTTCAGGCATCTTGGCCTCAATTGCCTATCTACCACCACCAAGCGGTTTACAAGGAGCGGATTGGTTCTAGGCGATCAGTTGGGAGGCTTCTTGGCTTCTCAATTTAAAGTTAAGGTGTCTTGTTTTTTTTTTCTCTCTCTCTTCTTTGTCAAGTGAGCCCTGATTTTTTCCTTCTAGCCAATCAGCTGGGACTCGTGAGGCAGCGAATAGATTGGGGGCAGGGCCAGTCAGAGGTGGTACTGGTTCACAAGAACCGGGGAGAACCGGTAGCAACCCACCACTGAAACAAAGGATTCACTTAGCAACTGCTGCATTCGTTTAATGGCTGCCACAAAAAAGTTTGTAAAATCAGGTCTGGTGATGTAGTAACCTGCTTGATGACACAATTTATGACCGAAATTTCTTGTTCAATTACAGTCCTATTATCGAGAATCACCTGTATAGAAATTCATTCTGTCAGAGAAATGAGTATGAAAATTTTTGTATTTTTCCCATTGATTAATTGATCCAAAGTGAGGGAATCAATAGTTTTGCAACTTTGAAGAAGAAACCAAGAGAAAAATAAAAAAAGACAAAAGCAATTAATCCGATTCTCAAAAGGCCCTGAAGACTTATTTATTCCAGCAAGCCGGCCTAGCCTAAATGGTTTTTAATGGGATTTTTTAAATTTTATAGACTTGGGGTTTTAAATTGGGAGGCCGATTGATTTAATCTCTTTTAATTATCTTAACTTTTGTATTGTACGTATTTTAATTTTGGCTGTTCAACGCCCTGAGTCCCTTTTGGGAGAAGGGCGGTATACAAATTAAATTAAAAATAAATAAATAAAAATAAAATATGCTTTGATTCTGTGCTTCTCTGTCTTTCTGTTTTTCTCTGTCTACTCCCAACCACCACTTGAGTGTAATGTAAATGAAAGAGTTGAGGGAAATCTATTTCCCTGAAAACTATAGATCATTTCCCCAATCGATGTGAAATATCGTCTTAAGAAACCCTTTTGGGGTGGATGGTGGCTATTGTATATTTTTAGCATTTCAATTACAATAAGTTGCGTTTAAGGCTATTAGATTTGCATTGCAAAATTAGAAACCTCTGCTAGGGGGCAGCAAACAGACATCAAACTAACTGCCAATCCAGTATTTTTTCACTGTAAATTTCATAATAGGCAATATGCTATCAGTATCAATCAGGAATGCCTCCCTGTGTTTATGGTTTTGATTCTAAAATTGCAGAAGGGTGGAAAACTGAAAGCAGTTAGTTAGGGGAAGAGAATATTCAATGTCCAATTTTTTTTCATCGCCAAATTCTTGAGTGTTATGGAGGAAAAGCAGTGGAAGAGTCAGAGGGAGGACTGAAAAGGGATTGATCTAAAATCCCTACGTAGCTACAAAAGAACTAAGTCTAACTTATTTTCACTGTCATTGACCCTTATCTAACTCTAACCAGGTTTTAACCATTAGTTGGAAAGATTCTTGTGCATAGGCCTTTAGCAATAAATCAGTTAATTTGAACATTCACAAAGGGACCTGATCTTTCATGCTTACAACCCCTCCTATTTTTTCCTCCTTTTTTGCAGAAATCTAAGAATGCTGAGAGCAAAACTGCAGAGGCGTGGGAATTGTTTGCCGAGAACCTCAAAAATATTTCCGAAAAAGGTAAGTTTGTCAAATTCCTGGAGAGATGTTTGGATCTTCTTGTATCTCTAAGACTTCACACAGCCTTCCATAATGAGCTGGAAAATAGAGGCTTCCATTTTGCAACCGGCATTGTCTAGTGGGCTAATTGCTCCAACCATTCCCCCGTCTTCCCCTGACATGCCTTTCTAATGACTTGCCAATGTTAAAAAAATAATCAAAATAGATAAAATAAGCAACCTACATAAACCAACCTACATAAGCAGGAATTGGCACCTGACAAACAAACAAGCAGAATACAATACTCTAATCAAGGACCTACTAAGGAGATAAAGAAACAAACAAACAAACAGAAAACAATGCCCTAATCAAGGAACTACCAAGGACAAAAACCACACCCAATCAACACTGGTAGGGCAATTATAAAAATAGGGAGCAAATTCAGTAGCACAGATGAGGTTAGCTAGTTGGGTAGTGAAAGGTCTGCAGAACAACCAAGGTCAGAGAGCATCAGGGACTCCACAAAATTTAAAGTTCCAGGCTGGCTGAGGAATTCTGGGAGTTGAAGTCCACAAGTTTTAAAATTGCCATGTTTGGACACCACTGTTCTAGGGAGATCAATGATGATACATATTTCCTGTCCCCTCCATATTTTCCTCATGGCATCCTTATGAGGATGGATGGGCTAAAAGCTATTAATTGATATATAAAAACCTAAGTCACTCCACTAGATTGGACCCCATCTAGTTCAGCATATAGCTCTCCCAGTGGTTGACCAACTGCACAAGGAAACCCATTGGTCTCCCAGCAGATGGCCTTCAGAGGCAGTCCGTCTGTCCTGAAGGCTAATAGGCTTTGGTCTCCATCACTTCCATGAACTTGACCAACCTTTTTTTAGAGCCCTTGAGGAATTGAGGCAGAAGATGCCTCTGAAGAGCTTGTGCAGAAAGTCAGTGGCTAGAGAGAGAGATCAGTATGATTCAGCAGGAATGTGCAACACCTCCCAACAACTTTCAGGGCTGGTAGGATTTGATCCCACGTTTCTTCATTCCTAATCTGATGTTCCACACTTACTACAACAGAGGCCTGTACTTCTTTCAGGCTATAGATGCCAACATAGGTGTGACTCTATATATGGAACTCTTCCAAGTCCCAAATTTTTCTCACCATCATCAACAAATTCAGGCAACCTCACCAAAAATGCAAGCTTGCATGAGGTGCTTGTTGCTTGCTTGTTTTGCAAGATCTTCCAAGTTTCAGGTTGATCACAAGAGATTTTAAATTTTATTTTAAAAAAATAAAGCATTTCACGTTTTATTTTAATTTGGGTAGCAATAGGAACTCCTTCCTGACAGCGCCGGTGAGAAGGTTCTCAGCTCTAATTGGTTTTCCATTTTTCTTTCACAGTTAGTGTGAAAACAGACTTGAAAATAATTCAGTTGCACAAGCAAAAGTAGGCATACTTAACTACTTTTCCTCCGATTCCTGAACAGGTGAAGATATGCTTCTTAACTGCTCTTTTTCTCTGATGGATTTGATGGGTTCCAGTAACTTCAGCCATTATTACCGCTACCTTGGATCCCTCACCACCCCTAGCTGTGATGAGGCTGTGATATGGACCGTCTTTGCAGACCCCATCCTGGTGTCTCCTGAAGTGGTAAGAATACAGTTGTGTCAGCACGTGAACAACAAAATCTACACCTGAAGAGTTCAGTTAGCCATTTCATGGCTCAGGCCTATAAAATAGGAATCTTCTGAGGGTTTGCACCTGAGTAAGACTAAACAAAGTTCAATGGCATTCAAGAGAAGGGGGAGGTGCCAAACTTTACTCTCTTATGTGCATGTAGGGATTCCAGACTAATTCCCTGTTTGACTCTTTCCTCTGGCTCAGCCAATCTCTCCCTCCAACAAGCTTGGAGCCCAGCAAAAAAATCCATAAAAGGACTTTGCTAAGGAGAAAGTATGTGCAACATAAATGGGGAGATGTATACAGGTAGTCCTCAACTTATGACCACAACTGAGTCCAAACTTTCAATTCCTAAACAAGACAGTTGCCACAGTTGTCAAATGAATCACTGGTTGTTAAGTTAGTAAGTGAATTTGGCTTCGGCATTGACTTTGCTGGTCAGAAGGTTGCAAAAGGTGATTGCATGACCCTGGGGCAACCGTCATAAATACACACCAGTTGCCAAGCGTTCGGATGTTGATTACATGACCACAAGGATGTTGCAATGGACGTAAGCCTGAAAAATGTTCATAATTCACTTTTTTTCAGTGTTGTTGTAACTTTACATGATCATTAAACAAAAGGTTGTAAGTCGAGGACTACCTGTAGGCAAAAAAGAGCGAACGTTTGATCATTCAGTTGTGGACACCATCTTGACTTTTTTGACCCCCTCCTCCCCAAGGACACTCCTGAGAATGTTTCTCTCCTCTGAACTCCTCTGAAAATGGAGCTTTCAGTTTTTGCCCTCCCGACTCAGCCAAATACAATTCTGTCATGAAATTGGTCCTCCCCGTTGCTGATCCATTTCCTGCTTTTTTTTTTTTCTGCTTTAAGTCACTGCGCACCTGACTTTTCTCTGACATAATTTTACAAAGTGTATGTGCCTTATATGGTGTCAGAATACAGTAGGAAACACTATTTCGACACAGGGGCAACCAAGGATGACTTAGGTCCATGTTGCTCATGGGCTGGAGATGGAAGTAAAAACAGCATAGCTGTATGAACAGTCAAAGGATGTTGCCAAACCAGGTCAGTGCTGTGGTTGCGTGCAAGACAGAAGCAAATTTTGTGGTTTTGACATTAAATTCAGCTCTGCTAGAAATAGGTAGCTCCTTTTTAGTTTAATTTTTTCTCTTTGGCTCCACAAAAGAATTACAAGTAGGCCTCGATTTACGACCACAACTGAGCCAAAAATTCCTGTTGCTAAGCAAGATGGTTGTTCAGTGAATTGTGTCCCATTTTACAACCTTTTTTGCCGCAGTTGTTAGGTGAATCACTCCCACTGTTATGTTACTAACACGGTTGTTAAATGAATCTAGCTTCCTCATTGACTTTGCTTGTCAGAAGGTCGCAAAAGGGGATCACGCGATCCCAGGACACTGCAGCCGTCATAAATATGAGCAAGCATTCGAATTTTGATAATTTAAGCATGGGGATGCTGCAATGCAGGGGTGAAATGTAAAATTTGTTACTACCGGTTCTGTGGGCATGGCTTGGGGTGTGTGTGTGTGTGTGTGTGTGTGTGTGTGTGTGTGTGTGTGTGACTGGGTGGGCGTGGCCAACTTTTTTTTTTTTTTAACTTTTCAAAGCATTTTTTCTAATGCTTTGAAAAGCCTCTGCCAATCAGGCAACTCAGCTGGGATCGTCAGAGACTTTTCAAAGCATTTTTTTTACCACCTCTTCGGTCAAGAGATTGCAGAAAAAAATGCTTTGAAAAGCCTCTGACTATCCCAGCTGAGCCGCGCAATCATCAGAGGCTTTTTTTTTTTACTTTTAAAAGCATTTTTTCGTCAGAAGAGGTTGTAGAAAAAATGCTTTTAAAGTAAAAAAAAAGTTAAAAAAAACCCCTCTGATGATTGTGTGGCTCAGCTGGGCATGTTGGGGGGGTGCGCAGGGATTTTTGCTACCGGTTCTCTGAACCACCCGCCGCCATCGTTACCGGATCAGGCGATCCGGTCCGAACCGGGAGCATTTCATCCCTGCTGCAATGGTCATAAGTGTGAAAAACAGTCATAACTTCAAACAGCCACTAAACAAATGGTTATAAGTCAAGGACAATCTCTATAGTAGGCAATCAGCTCCATTCACTATCCAAAGTAACTTTTTAAAGAAAGTTTTAGGAAGACAGTCTCCAAAACCTTCTTTCTTGTCCATCTGTCTGATAATCTTTTCTTTTTTGTTACAAATTAATTTCCATTGAATCCCATCAGCCCTGGGAATTTCCAACAGAGAGTTGAAGACAGAGCTTCTTAAATAACCAAGGATGCACATGAAGAGGTTATTGTAATGCTTTGTTGGGCCACCTTGTTGATTTGTCCTGATGCATTTTGATGATGAGAAACACTGCAGCCTAACAGTGTTAGAAGGGACCCTGGAGGTCTTCTAGTCCAACCCCCTGTTCAAACAGGAAAACATATACCATTTCAGTCAAATATTTGTCCAATTTTTTTATTAAAAACCTCTAGTGTTGGAGTATTCACAATTTCTGGAGGAAAGTTGTTCCACTGGTTGATTGTTTTTTCAGGAAATTTCTCCTTAATTATAGGTTGAGTCTCTCCTTGATTATTTTCCATACATTACTTCTTGCTCTGCCTTCAGGGGCTTTGGAGAGTAGGTTGACCCACTTTTCTGTGGGTATCCCCTCAAATATTGGAACGCCGCCATCATGTCTTTCTTGCTATCATCTCCACTCCTCTTTCTTTCAATAGGTCAGGAAATTTGCTTCAAATCTCTCGTCTACGGAGTCTTCAAAGGGACCCCGGCTAATGAACAACTTCCGTCCCATACAGAAGATTGGAGAGCGCAAAGTGGAGGTATCTGATGCTTTGAAGTCTGCAGCTACCATTTTTGTTTCTCCTCCAACTGTATTCATCCTCTTCCTGTCTATCGCCACCTTTCAACCATTCTTCTCCATGTAAGGGAAGATAGCAGAAGCGAATCATGCGGACTTGCAGTTCCCGTGTGGTTACAGCTAGCTACCGCCTTTGTGCCCTCCACATGCTCCATTTTACCATCTCCTTGCCCTCAACCCGCTTATTCAGGGCAGAAATCCAGGAAAATCAAGTTTGAAAGTTGGAAGGTGGCTGAGGATCAAATAATTTCGGTTGGCAAGGTCCAGGAAAAGAGGCTTTTCTGTTCCATAAATCCCTGCCTTATGGAATATTCTCCCCCTTTGGAAGAATGGTCCATTCTGCCACTTGACTTGGGGCCAAGACAGGGTCCTACTACTTATTTATTGGGAGTGACTAGCTGGCTAGAGAAGATCTTCACCCCCAGGTCACCCACCATCTTGGTTGTTTAGCTTTGTATTTAATTCTCCTAATTTTAATTGCTTTGTATTGCCCTTTTTTTGTGTGTACTTTTTATTGTATTGTAAGCTGCCTGGAGTCACTGTATCAGTGGCAAAACAAACAAATGAACGAACAAATGCATGAATGAATGAATGAACGGATGAATGAATGAAAAAAAAAGAATAAAACAGAAACACAGGAAAAACTGGAAGAAAGCTAATACTGCTTGATCCAATCGCTGTGATATGGTGCTGTTAAACATGTTAAGGCCAAAGCTGAAATGGAAACTCTTCACTCAAAATGAAGTTTTATGAAACCTGTAAATCGTCATTTTCAAAAGATGATGTTCATTTTTTTAAGATCGGAGAGATAAAATAGGTAAAAATGTACATAGATGAGAGAGACAGAGGGAGGGAGAGGGAGAAAAGGGGAGAGAGGGAGATGAGGAAAGAGATTCAATTATGGGTTTCTGGATGGATATAGTTTCATTTTTTTAAAAGCGCTGCACTGAAATGCCATCTTCTCCTTGTGGCAAATGCCACACCTTTGTCTTCAGCAGAGCCAAGCCCATGGAGTACATTCAGCTGATATTGAAGCTTTTCTGCAGGGCGGCTTAAGCTGCTTATCTCATTGGCGAATGCCAGCTGGAGATTGCCATACATATTTCAATCATACCCCAGGCTTGGCAACGATACTGGTCAAGAGTTCGGTCCAGACACGTCCCAATCATGGGCACTCTCCTGTTTCTTTATAATGACCAATCTTTGCTGGAACAGGAAGCTCAGAAACTTGTTCATTTTTTGGGAATGGGGTGGGGAAGAAGGGCTATGTTTGACGATGGGTGATTTCTATGACCACAACTTTCACATGAACCTTGATTCCCGCTTGGACTGAGCCTCCTCTCCACCAAGCACTTGTTAGCCATAAACGTCGGCAAGTGTAACCAGTGTGCCTTGCTCAAATGGGATCTGAGCCAGAAATATAGATTAATATGGGTAGTCCTCGACTTACGACCACAACTGAGATCAGTGGTGAAATCTAATTTGTTACTACCGGTTCTGTGGGCATGGCTTGGGGGCGGGGGTAATGTGACTTGGTGGGCGTGGCCAATTTTTTTTTTTTACTTTTAAAAGCATTTTTTCTACAAACTCTTCTGACGAAAAAATGCTTTTAAAAGTAAAAAAAAAAAAGCCTCTGATGATCGCGCGGCTCAGCTAGGATCATCAGAGGCTTTTCAAAGCATTTTTTTCTGCAACCTCTTGACTGAAGAGGTGGTAAAAAAAATGCTTTGAAAAGTCTCTGATGATCCCAGCTGAGTTGTCTGATTGGCAGAGGCTTTTTTTTCTTTTAAAAGCCTCTGATGATCCAAGCTGAGTTGCCTGATGGTCAGAGGCATTTAAAGGAAAAAAAGCCTCTGCCAATCAGGCAACTCAGCTGGGATCGTCAGAGACTTTTGAAAGCATTTTTTCTACAACCTCTGAAAAGGCTTTTTTTTTTTTACTTTTAAAAACATTTTTTCAGCCGTAGAAGTTGTAGAAAAAATGCTTTTAAAAGTAAAAAAAAAAAAGCCTCTGATGATTGTGCGGCTCAGCTGGGCATGTGGGGAGGCAGGGATTTTTGCTACCGGTTCTCCGAACCACCCGCCTCCATTGTTACCGGATCGAGTGATCTGGTCCAAACCGGGAGCATTTCTCCCCTGACTGAGATCCAGATTTTCACTGCTGAGGAAAACAAGTTGTTAAGTAAATTTTGCCCCATTTTAAGACCTTCCTTGCCATAATTGTTAAGTGAATCCCTGCACTTGTCAAAGTTACCAACACAGTTGTTAGATGAATCTGGCTTCCCCATTGACTTTGCTTGTCAGAAGGTCACAAAAGGGAACCGCCTATCCCTGGGACACTGCAAATAAATGCCAGTTGCTAAGCATCCAAATTTTGATCATGTGACTGGAGGGATGCTGCAACGGTCGTTAAGTGTGAAAAATGGTCATAATAAGTCACTTTTTTTGCAGCGTCACTGTAACTTCAAGCGGTCACTAAATGAATGGTTGTAAATGGAGGACTCTCTGCGTTTCTTTATTTAAGCACACAAGTAAGGAGAGGCATCTGACCCAAAGAGAGGTAAAGACAACAATTTAGAAAGGCAGAAAATCACTTTATTCAAGTTCAAATATTATTGGGTTTCGAATGAGTTTTTTCTTTGGTTAACATCATTTGAGTCATTTGTGATATATGTACCATGTAACATTTCATCACGTCCCAAAAAAAACTCTTGAGTATGATCTTGTTTGTGCTCATCATATTCAGGAGGTGTGGCTGTCATATTATAATGAGTTTGCAAGTTACTGGAGTTCAAATCTACGTACAGTCCTTGTCTTGAGCAGGTTTGAACCAGTTCTTGCCAGACTCATAGAGAATTTGCTTTGTTACTGCAAAGAACTAGAAACATCAATCAAAGAAACTCCTAACTACTGAAAACATTACCCAAAGAGGGTCCCCTCTCCTGCTGCCATGAGACTAGTAAAAATGAAATGTTTTATTCTTCTTTTGTACCCTGCGGTTAGAAAAGGAAATGAGCAGACACCTTACAAATTTCAACTGGGTACAGATCAGGGTGAAATCCAGCAGGTTCTGACAGGTTCTGGAGAACCGGTAGCAGAAATTTTGAGTAGTTTGGAGAACTGGCAAATACCACCTCTGGCTGGCTCCAGAGTGGGGTGGGAATGGAGATTTTGCAATATCCTTCCCCTGGAGTGGGGTGGGAATGGAGATTTTGCAGTACCCTTTCCTTGCCACGCTCACCGTTAAGGAATATGCGCAGAGTAACCCTTGAATAGCAGGGGTGTGCACATGAGAAAATGGCTGAGAATGCTTGTGAATAAACACTATCAATACACAGACACACTGAGTTGTGATATTCTTTTACTTTTAGGAAAAAGAAAAGCAAAGTCCAATAAACAATCCAGGTCATACACAGATAAAGATAGTTAAATTGTAAATCCAGGGATATTCCAAGAACAAAGTCTTCTTACCAGTTGTTGTAGTCATATGCAATAAAACAGTTCTTTTTGGAGTTGCAAACAGGAACAAGTACAGCAGTAAAACAATCAGTAAAACAGTAGAAAACAACAAGTAGCAATGATCAAGCAGTGATCATGCAGAGAGAACAGGCAGAGAGGAGAAGAGGTAGCAATAATAATGTAATAAGAACAATAAGCCATGATTCAAACTTTCTCTTAAGTACGTTGGCTACAGAGCTAGCCAATTAGAATACAATATGATGCAATACAGCATTACAGTCTTAAAGCTATACGTTACATTTTGACTGTAAACATGCATTGATGGTTTATATATATATTTCCAACCCAACCAGTTAGGCAATGGCCATTTCCTAACACCAACCAAGCCACACCCACAGAACCGGTAGTAAAAAATTTGAATTTCACCACTGGTGCAGATAGAAAGTTCGCCTTTCACCCGTTTATCGGGGACATGGAAGAAAGTAACAGAAGGATAGACCGATCTGTTGCAAACAAAGAAAGATGTTCAGCCTGGGACAAAATGGCCACAGGAGGGAACAAACATGGCAGGAACAGAAGGAAGTTATTTTTGCTCTGGAGCAAGACAAGTAAGGCAGAAATTGTCTTCACCAGAGGCTGGAATTGAATGTATGTTTGAATGTCACTGTCCTCTGGACACAGTTAATGGAGGACCCTCTTCTTGGGCAAACAGGATGAGCCCCAAAGTGTAGAGCAGGGGTGTCAAATTTGATTTCATTGAGGGCCACATCAGGGTTTTGTTTGACCTCGGGGGGGGGGGCGGGAAGCATGGTGGGCGTGGCTAGCTTGACATCACTCATGTTGGGGGCATCCGTGGTGGCCCGAGCGCTATGCCAGCAAAAACAGGCTGCCAAGCTCCGTTTTCAGTTGCAACGGCCTACTGCAAACCTCTGCCAGCGAAAACGGAGGAAAACGGCCCTCCTGCAACCGTCTGCCAGTGAAAAAGGAGCTCTGTTTTCGCTGGCAGAGGCAAGGGCAGCCCCACGGGCCAGATCTAAGCACCCCACGGGCCAGATCCAGCCCACGGCCATGACTTTGACACCCCTGATGTAGAGAGTAATCAAAGGGCAAGTATGATAAAACCCCAGCTTGATTCTCCTGTTATTGGACAATTAGGCTTGCAGAACAGCAGGCCAAGATCTTCTTCACTGAATAACAAGGGGAGGGAATTATCACCCCCATAACTAACTTTCCGTCTTGATACCAGAACTAGCTTCTTTTTGCTTTAAAGCCGAATTTGTGAACTGCAGAAAATGTAACTGTTGCAATATTTTCAGGATCAGACTCAATAAGATCAACAAGAGTTAAAGATTTAACTATATATTCTTTTATTTACATTAGGCATTCTATATTCACTGAATATTCACAGATAGAAGCAGGGGAAATGGTGTAGGTAGCTCCTTATATATACAATGGGTGGAGCTATATTGTGGGAGTGGTGAATTATGAATACATTAAGAAGTGAAGAATAAATTAACCCTGATACCCTGTCTGTACACTATTTACATATTGGAGAATAAGGCATTTATATCTGACAAATCCCCCTCTAAATGCGATTCGTTATACAACACCAGTTACATTCAGATTCAGGACAATACAAACACATACAACTTAGAGGTTAAGTATCTATGTTGTTTAGAAGGTAAAGGCTTCGTTAATATATCAGCTAATTGTTCTGAAGTGTCACAATGCACTGCTTTAATAAATCCATCCTGAGATAATTGTCTCACATGTTTAAATTTTATATCTATATGTCTGGACCTTTGTCCAATGGCATCAGATCTAGATATTTCAATGGCTGCTTTATTGTCTTCATGCATAACAAAAGGCAGAGCAGGTTTTTTCCAGACATCTGAAATTAAATCATTAAACCATACAAGATTATTTGCGGCCTTGGATAAACAAACATATTCCGCTTCTGTTGTTGAAGTAGCCACTAGTTCTTGTTTACCAGTGTACCAGTAGACTGGACAGTCATTTAAGAGAAATACATAA